CTCTCATTTTCCTACTCTTGTTGAAATACAGCCCCTCAATGAGGCCAAACATAGATTCACAAAATGTTTAGAGGTATGTGTCCCCCTGAGTCCCCCCAGAAAAAAAGCACTGGCTATGCTTATTAAGATGGGACACGGGTGGTGCTGTGGTCTAAACCACAGAGCCTAGGACTTGCCAATCAGAAGGTCAGCGGTTCGAATCCCCGTGATGGGGTGAGTTCCCGTTGCTCGGTCCCTGCTCCTGCCAACCTAGCAGTTCAAAAGCACGTCAAAGTGCAAATAGATAAATAGGTACCGCTCTGGCAGAAAGGTAAACGGCTTTTCCGTGTGCTGCTCTGGTTCGCCAGAAGCGGCTTAGTCATGCTGCCCACATGACCCGGAAGCTGTACGCTGGCTCCCTCGGCCAATAAAGCAAGATGAGCGCCACAATCCCAGAGTCGGTCATGACTGGACCTAATGGTCAGGGGTCCCTTTACCTTTACCTTCTTTATGCTTATTAAGAAATGACCATGGACTCCATAGGACTGTGCACCCTCTGACATAAGTCATTTTGTTTTGCAAATCAATGAACACATGTATTTTCATTTATTGTTGCAGGGGTGTGTGTTTTTGGGGGGGGGGGCAGTCCAGTCTGCATGATACTCTGAGTCCTGTATTCTTCCACATGGGAGCAAATGATCAAGGCTGCTTGTCAAAAGAAAAGGAAAAAATACCCACATCGGTGTGCATCATCATTAATTATAATTAAAATCATTTTATTTATATGCTGCTTATATGCATGATTGCCTTCTTGCATTTCTAGTTCCTATCGCTTTCAGTTAGGTGAAGCCTGCCTGTCTTCCTTCGCTGTCATTCTGCTTAGGTCTCCTTTCAACTCCCCTCCCCACTCCCTCCAGAAGCCTCTTGCCATCTCTCAGAGCCAAGGGTTAGGGGTCCAGTGCAGTCGTCAACCTTTCACCCATCCAGGTGTTCTATTCTTTTCTAAACTGCCAAGACCAGTGGTTGCCAACTGGTGGTCCACGTAACCCACCCGGGGGGGTCTTTGGCACCATTCACATAACAAGAACTACCACCGAGATGTCTACGTTTTCAAAAGAGTCCATGGCTTGGCTTTCGAAAGACAGGGGGTCCGCGGTGCTTAGCTAATTGGGAAGTTCATCAGTTTTGTTGATTAATTCAGTGAAATGGTTTCAACTGGATTTCGAATAAATGTGCAATTAATTGTCACTGTCCTGAATTTCATTGTGCTTTTGTCTTCCTTGGTGGGTCTTGCAAGCCACTGTTGTGAATGACGCTTTTTACAGGGCAGGGGGCACTGGGGGTGAGTTCATGGAACCAAGGGGATGGCGGCCTGAAAAAGTTTGGGAACCGCTGGTCCAAGAATTTTATTGGCAGGTGGCCATATAACGACTAACAGCAACAATGAGGTCATATGAGTACTTCCTTTTCAGGCAAATGCTACTTTGAAGTCAGTCAGCTCTTGTTGCATCCAACAGGTGGTCCAACAGGTGATGGTCCTTTCTTTGTGTGGGTGACTAGACTCTCTCCACCTGAGGCAGGTGTGGATGGTGACCTTTGAAGTGATGTTTTCTTTTCTTTTTTAATGTAATTTTTATTTATTTTCCATTTAATATTATACATTCACATCATCTTTATCCACTATACCACCTTGGCTCTAAGAGTCTATCTACTTCCTGACAGTAAGAGCTGTTCGACAGTGGAATTTGCTGCCAAGGAGTGTGGTGGAGTCTCCTTCTTTGGAGGTCTTTAAGCAGAGGCTTGACAACCATATGTCAGGAGTGCTCTGATGGTGTTTCCTGCTTGGCAGGGGGTTGGACTCGATGGCCCTTGTGGTCTCTTCCAACTCTATGATTCTATGATTCTATACTTCCTTCCCACCCACCTCATGGCTTTCAAAATTAACCTTTATATCATTGCAATTTAAACATTTTCCAATTCTAATTACACTCATTACAGAATATCTCTAAAATTTAAATGAATAGAGAAAGATAGAAATTTCTCATTACAAGTCTTCAGACAACCCTGCTAGTGATCTTAATTGCTTACAATGATCTTTCAAATATCGTATAAATTTAGTCCAATCTTTTTGGAATACTTGGTCGTACTGGTTTCAGATTTTTCCCATCAGCTTCGTCAGTTCTGCAAAGTCCATCATCTTCCTCTGCCACTCTTCTTTCGTTGGCACTTCTTGTTGTTTCCATTTACGGGCTAAAATAATTCTTGCCACAGTTGTTGCATACATGAATAGTCTTTTATCTTCCCTTGGTGTCTCTTCACCTACTAGACCCAATAGAAAGCTTCTGGCTTTTGAACAAAGTATTTTTAAACATTTTCTTTAACTCATTTTATACCATTTCCAAGAAAGCCTTTACCTCTTTGCAAGTCCACCGCATCTGGTAAAAGATACCTTCCCTTTCTTTACATTTCCAACACTTATTAGTTCTTCTCTTGTACATTTTAGCAAGTTTGGTTGGTGTTAAATACCATCTATACATCATTTTCATAACATTTTCTTTAAGTGCACTGCATGCCTTCCTTCCACAACCTTTCCCAAGATTCTAACTGAATATTATATCCAAAATCTTTAGCCCATTGTGTCATCACCCCTTTGACCTCCTCATCCTTAGCGTGCCATTCCAATAGTAATTTCTACATTTTTGATAATATTTTCCTCTTATCATCCAATAATTCTATCTTGAACTTAGATCTTACTGTATCAAAACCCTTTTTCTTTTTATCCTCCTTAAACACGTCATTTATCTGGTGATGTGGCAACCAATCCGTCAATAGGTCTTTTATTTCTTCAAATGTTTTTAATCTTAACTGACAACCAATCTCGGTCAATAATCCTAATGTTTTCTTCTCCCCCTGGAGACTGCCTGGAGCTAGGAGGCCAGATCTCACATAGTAGAGGGAACAACCTCCTGCAAGGTGGCTTCCCCTAGACGAGTGGATCCCAAACTTGGGTCTCCAGCTGTTTTTGGACTACAACTCCCATAATCCGTAGCTAGCAGGACCAGTGGTTGCGGATAATGGGAACTGTAGTCCAAAACAGCTGGAGACCCAAGTTTGGGGAACCCTAGATGTTTGAGAAGACAATTCCCATTATCCCCAGTCAGCACAGCTGCACACTCAGCTTCACACAACATCCTTCAAAACCATCCCATGAGCTGTATGTAAATAAACTATACAAGGCAGAGAGCAAACATTTTATTTATTAAGTTATTAAATTTATAGACCGCCCTTCATCTGAAGATTTCAGTCCGGTTCACCAGACGAAAATATAGGATAAAAACACAAATAAATAGTTGGAACAAAAGGAAAACAAGTCAATAACCCCCCTCCCACAATACATTTAAAAGAGCATCAGATGTCAATCAGCCAAAGACATGGTTGAAGAGGAACGTTTTTGCCTGGTGCCTAAAGGTGTATAATGAAGGCGCCAGGCGAACCTCCCTGGAGAGACCATTCCATAGATGGGGAGCCACTGCAGGGAAGGCCCCATTCTCATGTTGCCACCCTCTGGACCTCTTGAGGAGGAGACACACAAAGAAGGGCCTCAGAAGATGATTTCAGGGTCCAGGTAGGTTCATATGGAAAGAGGCGGTTTTGAGGTATTGCAGTCCTGAGCCATTTAAGGATCTATAGGTCAAAACTAGCACTCTGAATTGGGCCCAGTAACTATTTGGAAGCCAGTGCAGTCGGACTAGGATCGGTTTAATATTCTCAAACCGTCCTGCTTGGTGAGCAAACTGGCTGCTGAATTCTGCACCAGCTGAAGTTTCCGAACCATCTTCAGAGGCAGTCCTACACAGAACACATTGCAGTAATCTAACCTTGAGGGTACCAGAGCATAGTACAAACTTAGTTGGTCTTTAAGGTGCTACTGGACATTTTTTTATTTATATAGACTACAGTAATTAGGCTATTCCTGTTCAGATAGGGGTATAGCTGGGCCACCAGCCGAAGCTGATGGAAGGCACTCCAGGCCACTGAGGCCACCTGAGCCTCAAGCAACAGCAAAGGATCCAGGAGGACCACAAAGCTACAAAGCTGCTCCTTCAGGGGCAGCGTAACCCCATCCAGAGCAGGCAACCTCCTGTCAGGAGCTCGTCCTACACTCGAGTAGGACCCTGGCAGAGACACATGCCCGACTGGCATGTTCTCTCCCTCCTGGTCAATCGTTCGGGAGCTTCAAAAGCTTTCTTCAGCCCAAACATCACAGCGACCGGTGCCAACAGACACCGGCACACTTAGGGCTTTGCAGAGTCTTCACAGCTTGTGTAACAGACCTCAGCAACTCAGCATTTTGGCTAATCTACTTTATTTACACATAAACACACACGGAGCACTGCAACACGGCTCCCCCTCTCTCTAGCATCAGACAGCAAAGACAGAGAACAAAGGAGAGAGAACAAAGGAGAGAGAACAATAATCCCACTTCAGGAAACACAGTAACACAAACATCCTGTCTCCGTCACTTCCTACTCTGTGGAGTCAAAACATATACCATCATGTAATAGACAACAATCCCGTGATTGCAGTCATGGAGCAGGAATTCTAACACCTCCCACCCATCTAGTCTAAGGAAGCACAAACTAACAGTTGCCTCAGTCTTATCTGGATTGAGCTTCAGTTTGTTGGCTCTCATCCAGTCCATTACCGAGGCAAGACACTGGTCCAGCACCTCCACTGCCTCACCTGCAGATGTAAAGGAGAAACAGAGCTGAGTGTCATCAGCACGCTGCTGACAATGTACTCCAAACCCCACCCAGCGGTTTCATGTAGATGTTAAATAACATGGGGGATAGGACTGAGCCCTGTGGAACCCCACGTTGACACACAGTCATCAGGGCAGGAAGCAGTTGTTCCCAGAGCCAGGGAATATGCAGAGAAGCCTCCTCACCAGGCTGTCACAATTCACCACTCAGAGGCAGCAATAAACAGTGACAGCAATACATACAGAGAGCCCCTTCCTGCTATGCCCCATTGGTCAGGGGTGGGGCTCCAGTTTTGGGACTGAGAAACGCCCCCGCCCTTTGCAAGAGGAGGCGCCTGGCCGCTTCCCGAATCTGCTTCGTTTTAACCCCGTAGACGATGGGGTTGAGCATGGGGGGCACGATGACGTAGAGGTTGGCCAGCAGGATGTGGACGTGGCGAGGGATGTTGTGCCCAAAGCGGTGGGTGAGGAAGGAGAAGAAGGCCGGTGTGTAGAACATCAGGATGACGCAGAGGTGGGAGCCACAGGTGTCCAGGGCTTTGTGGCGAGCATCCTTGGACGGGAGCCGAAAGACGGTCCTGAGGATCAGCGAGTAGGAGATGGCGATGAGGACGGAGTCAACCCCCAGGGTGGACAGAGCTGCTGTCAAGCCATATACCACATTGGGGGTGATGTCTCCGCAGGCCAGGCGAGCCACACCCATGTGTTCACAGTAGGTGTGCAGGATGATGTTGTGGCCACAATAGGGCAGCCGGAGCAGGAGGAACACAAGGATGACCACGGCGAAGAAGCCCCGGAGGACACAGACCACCCCAATCCTCCCGATCACCATGCGGGTCAAAATGGCCGCATGCCTCAAGGGGTTGCAGATGGCCACGTAGCGGTCAAAGGCCATGGTCATCAAGATGGCCGACTCCACAGCAGAGGTGAAGTGGATGAAGAAGACCTGGGTGAGGCAGGCGCCGGAGGAGATGGCCCCAGCACCGAACCAGAAGATGCCCATCGCTCTGGGGATGGTGGTGCTGGAGAGGACCACATCGGAGGCAGCCAGCAAAGAAAGGAAGAAATACATGGGCTGGTGGAGAGCAGGCTCTGAGGCGATGGTGGCCACCAGCATGAGGTTGCCCAGCAAGGCCACCAGGTACATCCAGCAGAATGGGATGGAAATCCACACGTGGAAGTCCTCCAGTCCTGGGATGCCGGCAAGGAAGAACCAGGGAGGGATGAAGCTGCTGCTGTAGTTGGGGGCAGACATGGCCAAATGAAGCTCCCTGAGCACTTCATTCATTGGTTTGTTGTGGGTTCGAGCCCCATATTGGGCAAAAGGTTCCTGCATTGCAGGAGCTCGGCCCAGGATACCCTCCCGGTCCCTTCCAATGCTACAAGTCAATGGTTCTATGCTTTCAGCATTTTTTACTTATAAACCTCAGTAGGAAGATGGTCCCTGCTGCCTACAATCTGAGAGGCATGGCATGAAAGGCAAACGGATTGGGAAGGAGGAGGCAGAAAGCAAACTATCCACTGTTTGCTCTGCTGCTTTTTGCAGGCGCAAAAGATATCCAAGCTGAAAAGATCTGTGTCTGGGTGCTTTTGTTTCTTTGTATTTTGCTCCAAGCTTTCAGGATGAAAATCTGCTCTTTAGTGCTCAGACAGAGCAAACATCAATTTGCGGATTGCCATTTGCTCTGATTGAGCTTTAAAGAGCAGGTTTTCATGGGGAAAGCACTGGAGCAAAGACAAAAAAAGGGTGTGTGCTCAGATACAGAGTTTTAAAGTGAGGACCGTGCCTGGAAAGAGCGGAGGAAAGGTAATTGTGGACAAACCCTTAGTTTTGTGGTCCAGTTGGTGGCAATTCAACAGGCCTTGAGGCTGGATCCAAGCACAATGGAAGGACTGTGGCTGCCTTCCCTTCTGCTGGGTGACAGAGGTTGGGAAGAAGGCAGGCTCTCTATCCAGGTGCGACCTGCTGCTTTCTCTCCCTTGGGTGACTTCAGAAACGGCAGCTGGTAGCTGGAGAGATGGGGGGGGGTTCAGGTGCAGGCGTTGGTGTTGACCCTTTTTCACACCACAAAAGGGACTCTTGTTGCTGCTCCCCTCTTATCAGAACAACTGGACTTTTCGTAGAGATGGAAGGTACCCCCAAGGGTCATCTAGCTCAACCCCCTGCAGTGTAGGAATCTCAACTAAAACATCCAGGACAGATGGCCATCCAACCTCTGCTGACTGAGCTTCTAGAGATGATCCATTCTGGTGATGGTCACTGCCTTGGTGCCCTTGGGGAGGATAAGGAATGTATATAAATGGATGGGTGGAAAAAATGAACAAGGTGGGATGATACAACAACAACAACAACAACAACAGGAAGCACAGCAAGATTTTTGAATGCTCCACTTGGCCAGGCCAGCAAACAAATGATCTGCCAAGCTGTATGCAACCAACCTAGTCTGGAAATCAAGCTTTATGGTAATGGTTTGGGGGAGTTGGGGGCATTTAGTCTGGAGAAGAGGAGACTGAGATATGTGAACCATCTGAAGGGCTTGTTTTCTCCTGCTCTGGAGGGTAGGACTCAAACCAACTGGCTTCAAGTTACAAGAAAGGAGATTCTGACTAAATACACGGAAGAACTTTCTGATGGTAAGAGCTGTTTTGTGGAACGCTCTCCCTCAGGAGGTTGTGGACTCTCCTTCCTTGGAGGTTTTTAAGCATGGCCGTCTGTCATGGATGCTGTAGCTGAGATTTCTAAATTGGAAGGGGTTGCGTTGCAGGTACCTGTGGGAAACCCGCAAACAGGATCTGAGCACAAGAGCCCTCTGTCTAATCCTCTTCTAAGGCCACTCAACTGCTGGCCGTCACGGTTTCTGTGTGATAGCACATTCCACAGTTTAAGTATTCACAGTTTGAAGACATATCCCCTTCTCTTTTTTGGTCAGCCATAAGAACGTGAGAAGAGCTTGCTGCTGGGTCAGGTCAACAGCCCATCTCATCCATCACCCTGTTCTCACAGTAGCCAACCAGATGCCTGCAAGCAGGATCCAAGCACAACAGTCGTCTCTTCTCTTGTGGCTTCCAGCTACTGGTACCCAGAAGCATCACTGCCTCTGAAAGTGGAGAAAGAGGAGGCGCTGCAATCACTCTGTCCTGCACGGTTGCCACTGCAATAGCTGGCAAGGTCCCTCTCCTTCTCAGAAAGCCAGTGTGGATCTCTGCTTTGGTTGTAACATTTCCCAGTGATCTTTCCTTCCCCGAGAACCACACTAAGATCCCTCCCTGCTTCAAAGAAAGCATTCCGCTCTTACTCAGAGGGGCACAGCCCGTTTTCTCTCTTGTCCTGAAATCCATCTTCATTGCAGGCAACCCCTGATTTTGGGACGGAAAAGTATTTCAGGGAAGGGACAGAACTGCAGCCTGAAGTGGAGTAACATGGGGGAGGAAGCCCAGGCGAAAAGATGCCAAATGAAACTGTAGTATCCTGGGATGAGGGCTGCATTTTCAATATCATTGGGGAGGTGGCCAGGCACCGTCCTCCAGTGCCCCCTGCCAAAAAACCTCAAAGAGGCAATTGTTTGGCTTCTTCAGAATTCTCTTTAGAATTACAGGGTAGGAAGGGACCCCCAAAGACCATCTAATCCCTGCAGTGCAGGAATCACAGCCCAAGAACCCCTGACCATCTAAGGTCGCCCAAGAAGGAGAGACTGCCGCCTTCTGAGGGAGTGCATTTCTCTTTCAAGCAGCTCTTATCCCCAGAAAGTTCTTCCGTGTGTTTAGTCAGAATCTCCTTTCTTGGCTTGGGCCCTCCCCTCTGGAGCAGCTTGCCCCATCTTCCCTAGGTTAGCCATTCAGTGATTTGAAGATGGTCATCCTCTCTCCTCTCAGTCTCCTCTTTCCCCGGCTAAACATACCCAGCTCCTTCAACCATTCCTCACATGGCTTGGTCTTCAGACTCTTGACCATCTTGGTCGCCCTCTTCTGCACATCTTCCAACTTGTCCATGTCCTTCCTAAACTGGGGGGGGGGGGGGTGCCCAGAAGAACTGGACGCAGGACTCCAGGTGGAATCTGACTGGGGATGGGAGATGGTGATATATTTTTTAAAAGTTCTTCCCAGTGTATAAAAAGACTCACCAAGCTCTTTTCTGTATGGAAATACAGAATGTTGTTGGTTAATCAGGAGAGGACTCTGCAGTGTCTCCAGCAGTCTGGCCGTGGCAATTTATGCAGTTTCCTCAGGAATCCCAGGAGGAGGGACAGAGGAGGGTTCAGGTGAGTGGAGATCCCAGGAGGTGCAGCGACTGAATCCCAGGTGTGATGAAGCAGCAGAAGCTGGTGTTGACTCCCCCAACACAGAGACTCTCTCTCTCTCTCTGTGTATGTGTATGTGTGTGTGTGCTGTACTTTTGAAGATCTGATTCTGTTAACAGCAGCAAACTGGAGATGTAAAACCACTACAGGTGTCATTATGGAACTGAGAGCTGTATAACAGCTGGTGCTCTTTATGCTCTGGGGCAGCTAAAGCTTGATTTCCAGACTAGGTGGGTTGCATACAGCTTGGCAGATCATTCGTTTGCTGGCCTGGCCAAGTGGAGCATTCAAAAATCTTGCTGTGCTTCCAGTTGTTGTTGTATCATCCCACCTTTTTCATTTTTCCACCCATCCATTCATATACATTCCTTATCCTCCCCAAGGGCACCAAGGCAGTGACCATCACCAGAATGGATCATCTCTGGAAGCTCCCCCCCCCCGTTAGGCAAGGCCTCTGAATCACAAGAACTTAAGAAGGGCCCGCTGGATCAGGCCAATGGCCCATTGAGTCCAGCATCCTGTTCTCATAGTGGCCGACCAGATGCCTATGGGAAACCCCCCAACAGACATACTCTGCCGCCGAGGGCAATGTTTGTCTGTTACAGGGGTGGTCCTTCAATCTGGCTAACTGGCACACAGTCTGGACAGGTGAGAAGCTGTGACTGTGTTGGGTTGTGGGCATCCCTTAATCCCTGTTGTCAGGCGTGGCCTGCGGGTGTTGGTGTTAGAATTCCTGCTCTATGACTGCAGTCATGGGATTGTTGTCTATCACATGACGATGTATGTTTTGACTCCACAGAGTGGGAAGTGACGGAGACAGGATGTTTGTGTTACTGTGTTCCGTGAAGCAGGACTGTTGTCCTTTGTTCTTTTTCTCTTTACTGTATGATGCTAAAGAGAGAGGAAACCATGTTGCAGTGCTCCGTGTGTGTTTATGTGTAAATAAAGTAGATTAGCCAAAATGCTGAGTTGCTGAGGTCTGTTACACAAGCTGTGAAGACTCTGGGAATCCCTAAGTGTGCCAGTGTCTGTTGGCATCGGTTGCTGTGATGTTCGGGCTGAAGAAAGCATTTGAAGCTCCCGAACAATCGGCCAGGAGGGAGAGAACATGCAGTCGTGCATGTGTCTCTGCCAGGGTCCTACTCGAGTGTAGGATGGGCTCCTAACTGTTGGTGGGTGCCCCTTTGACTTGACGGATTCATCAGGGTGAACATTGGCCAATGGGGTGCCTGGCCAATGCAGCAGGAAGAGAGGAGTCTTAGGAAAACTTGTTGTGTGAACACAGCGTTCAGCTGTTAACTTGGGCAGGCGATGGAGGTAGAAATTATCCCCATCTGTTAACGAACTCCTGCCCAACTTAATTTGATTTGGTTACGTTGGTTAGTTTTGCAGATCCCAGACCCTATTTTCCAGGGACATCCCTGATTTACAGAAGCCATCCCAGTTTCTGATTTGACCCCAGAATGTCCTGCTTTTCCTTAGGAGGCCCCTATTTTCATTGGAGAAATGTTTGAGGGTATGGAGTTATGTGACC